TCTGTATCATGAAAGTAAAATGATACATTTGAGAATGCTTGCATTTCAGTCTTGTATTTGAGAAGAACTAGACAAATATTCTCTAGACTACATAATACACAAAATATATACATGAGTGTATATATGTAAATATACATAAGTGCACACAAATACATGTCTAAATATGAAGTAAAAAAGAAAAGAAAATGTAGAACTTGACATTTTGATCTATATGTAGACATGTTACTAGAACCAAGCTGATCTACATATATCACCTCCTATAGTAGCCATTATTCTGTGTGGAGTAGAACATGTAAGATTACTCTCAGCAAATCTCGAGTGTACAACCGTGCTATTAATTGTGCTCATGGAGCTGTATGGTAGATCTCCATTTCTTGATATTTAAAACTAAGAAACGATGAGAAAGGAAGTGCATGTATTTGAGTACTTGCTGTGTGAAAACTTTTTTGTTCTTTTCTCTGCATTACAATCTCCTGGCTGAGAGAATATTCAGTGAACATAATATGTTTATGTGTGACTGAGGAGTGTGTACCCTTCCCACTAAATTGAAAGCTATCACTAATAGTAAGAAAATATAAAATTCTGGTGGAAAAGGACATCCATGGATCCAGGTTGCTTGAGTCTATATCTCAAAGCTGTTCTTTAATATTCTTGTAAAATACGTTTTTTTTCTTCATTTTCCTTTTCCCTGCAACAGAGAGGGAGTGTGAAGGTAACACACACAAATAAACACAATGGAAGTGCTTGTACTGTGGCATTGCTCACAGTGAAAAAGGCTTTGTTAATTGTAGCAGGTTCTTAACAGATTTACTATGCATGTATTTTGTCTCTTTTGTTGATAGATGCTAGGCATTTTTTTGTCATCATTCACATTTTTCGTAGTTTCTCCTGCATAGTTTCTGTTTCTGCACTACTTTCCAATTAATTTACCAAACTCTCCCAATCAACTGATTTTTTCTCCAGATTTACCTAGTTCTTTCTGATGCTTGTTAACTTCAAAAGTCTTTAAGAACTTCAGTTCTAAAAGTTTATTTGAATTTTGAATGTTCTAATTATTGTTGACATGCCTATTTTATGTTTGTATTGTGGTGGTACCGGAGATCCAACACAGGAGCCCTGTGCTACTGAGCTGCATTCCAGGCCTTTTTTATTATTTCCATTGAGACAAGGTCTTGCTATGTTGCCCAGCCAGCACATGAACTTTAAACCTTGTCTCAGCCTCCCAAAGTGCTGGGATCACTGGCTTGAGTTGCTGCTCCTGCCTATGATTATTCTACACTTTTGCCTAAAACATTGAATGTCTGAAAATCTGTTGATCTAAATCTGCCTTGGTTGTTTCTCTCACTCTAATTTACAGGGGATTATTTTCCCACGTGTTTATAATTAGTTCTATGCACAGTGTATAATTTTTATCACAGACATTTCTTCCTATGAACATAACAGCTAAAATTATTCAAAGTTTTGATTTCAATCCTTCATGTTACCAAACAAATATCAAGGTTCGATTTTAGGGGACTAGTAAACACTTTTAAATCAGATGATGGATTTAGAAATCACATATGAATTTGGATTCATGTGCCTGGTTCACTTTTATTTTACATATGTTTACTCAACTTTATTACATCCTGGGTTAAATAGGTGATTTTTTTTTTTATTTTTTGAAATCTAAAATGAATGTGTATTGTGTAAAACAGAAGGCCTTATTTTCTTTTCGGAAGTAAACACATCTTTCTTGTATCGTTGTGTGCAAGCACCAGGGCAAAGTTAAATACCACTGTTTTTGGCCGAGACCTTTGGATTTTATAGCATTTTGTACAAATAAGTTTTATATGTCAGCTAATGGTGATGTTTGTTTGATATGTCTGCTGGAACAACTGGAGTGCACAAAACATGTTTGCAAAATTGTATTGTCTGTTTTTATTAAGGGGTGTAACTTGAAGTTTAGGCTTGGGGACGGAAAGTGAAGAAATCTTCGCATCTGCATGCTCTGAGTCCATCCGTGTGCCGTGGTGGGGGGCAGCCTTTCAACAATGGTGGTTGGTATTAAAGGCCTGTGTGTTTCATCAAATGGAAAACGTCAGCAGCTTGAGACTTCAAATAAAGATTTAAAGGAATCAAAAAGATGATGCGTAGGGCAATGATTATATTTCAAGGACTCCTATTGCTTCTTCAGATGGGCAAAATGTGCATTTAAAGGCTACCAATTGTCATCTAGTTAGTTCATTTTCATGAAAACTCAGACCTCAGTGATCTGTGTCGACTTGATCCTTGATGTGTTCAGTGTTACCTCCGGGTCCACAGGCCACTGGTTGCAGGATTCTCACAGAATAGGAAATCCAAGGTACTTACCCTACCATAGATACTGAATTATCCCTAACTTATTTGGTGGATCTAATACAATGTACACATTACATAAACAGCTGCTGTACTCTGAGAAATAATGACAAGTAAAAGAGTCTATTCATGTTCAGTACAAGCTCTTTTCTCAAGTATTTTGATTGGCAGGTAGCAGAACCTAGAGAAGAGAAACCCACGGATCTGATCCGAAGGCCAACATTATACACACACACACACACACACACACACACACACAAATATTCTTTAATCATAATTTATGCACATGCATATTTTTCTAATGAAGTATGTTCCACTCAAAGACATTTTCTTGAAGCTTCTTGTTTTCCAAGCTTGTAAATTGATTTGCTTATTTCTAAACCAATTTACTTATTTTTGACTTTCTAACTAACAAGGAATTAGTCCTGCTTTTGACAGTTGCTACCATGAAAGTAAGCATTTCCCCTAAAATGTCATTTAAAAAAATTACAGAAAGTGTCCATCAGAAATTCAAGTTTTTTATTTGTAAAGTTAAATATTTTTTATATCATGCAATGTAAGTGTCTTGAATGCCTAAGTCTCAAGTTTATTCCTTGGACAAAAATTGTTATATTTTGAAGTATATGTTTTGAAAGTATACTTTGTGAATTAGGGATAATAATCCCTATCATTCTCTAAAAGGATGAAGGAGATGGAATAATTAATTAGGACATTATATATAGAAGCAATGAAAAGAAGTCATTTAGTTGTTTTCTGTTTTATAAAACTAATAAGAGGTATAGACATATTAAATATGTCCTTAAATATAATAGCTATGTATGTTTCAAACTCCAGAGTAGACATTCACCCCAGTAGTTTGAGGTTGAAGACAGAATATTTTCCTCATTACTACACTGCCAAAAAAGGCATGTTGTGTTTTGAAATATTCAAGACCTATGAAATTAGAAATATCCAGGGCCAAATCACAACATTTTCCCTTAGGAACTGTGCAGCTATGGCACATTAACTAGTATTTTCATGCCTTGTATTTCTCTGCTTTATAATACATATAATGATAAGAAATTAATAAAGTTTTCATAAAAATTTAATGAGCCAAAACTTTTTAAAGAGCCTGAAAAGAATGTGACCTTCCAATAGATTTATTGCTCCTATGTATGTTACAAAGCCATTTTGTCAAATGATACTTTATCTCCTCTCTCACCAATATTTTCTATTTTCTGAAAGGACCGGGATACAAATTCACTTTTCTCCTTTTTAAAATCTGTCTTGTATTTTTTATTTTATTTATAAATATATTGCAGGAAGAAATTAAATCTACCTTCAGTAATACTTTGATTTTCCTTGTTCTATTCATATTTTCATTCACTGTGTTGTGCTTAGAAATCCTTTATTGGGTTAAATGGCCATGAGAGTATTAAAATCAGAACAAATGCTAATAACTTTGCTCAAAGAAAACAAACAATGTTACCTTTTGTTCAGATCAAATATGAAGTCGATTTACACAAGGGTCTTAAAGAGGATCCCACCACTGAGGTCAAGCTAGAATGTCTACTTTTTATCTCACTAATATATATTACTCATGATACTAATGTATTCTCTGTGTGCAAGTATTTAATTATATTTTATTCAGAACTTATTAACATTTGGAAGGTATTTTCCAGCTTTCTAAAAGGAAACTGCAAAAATTTCTGGATTAATAAGAAAATTGCTTTTATGGACATATTTCTATACTTCTTAATTAATTCACATGATAATAATGAGTCCAATGTAACTAACATATACAAAACCAGTGAAAAACCTGCCTTATAAATTTCTGTTACTTGAAAACTGTATTGGAAAAAATCCTTTTTATTTACTAATTTTATATAGTTTTGCTTATTAAATATATAGTCTGAAATTTTGGCCATCTTTTGGTTATGTTTAGATGTCCTGTGAAGAATAACACATTCCTCAAATATTATTAGCTTTAAAATGAATAAATTGTGATGTGAAAAAAGTGAATATTATGAGTATTAATCTCCTAATTTTTCCAGCTAACAAGGTAAGTTATTGGTCTTATGTCTTACATTATAATGACAGTTACACACGTTCCAAAATTAGTTTCCATTAGCAAATGTATTGAATATACCAAAAAATAATATTTAACTATAATTAGTATGTAATATAAATATAGAAAATATCTGTCAAATTTCTTTTTTTAAATGCTTCTAAAAATAATTTTCTGATGATTAGACTCCAAAGATGGCCCCTAGTTAGTCTTGTATTGGTTAATATTTAACAAGTGCCTTATAAAATAACTTTTAAATATTAAAAACCCCAGGTTTGTGATTCTAGGTGATTTATGTGATATAAATATCCCCAACATATAGCAAAACATGAAGAGGGAAAGACAGATTTTCCACTGTCTCTCAAGAGCTTGTATGTATGAGGGTGTTTTATTTTTGTTTGTTTGTTTTGGATTTTTTTTTTTTTTTTTTGGTACTGGGGATCAAATTTGGGACCTTATGCTTGTGAAACAGGTGGTGGAACCACTGAGCTAAATCCCCAGCCCATATGAGGGTGTTTGCAATTCTTTAATAAATAAATAGTATTGCATGTTAGTATTGTTTTAATATTAAAAATACCTGAGATAAGTCTATTTGAAAGGATTAAAGGTTTATTTAGGTTCATGGTTTTAGTGGTTTTGGTCCATGGTTATTTGACCTGTGGCTTTGGATCTGCAGCATAGTGGGGCAACTGCACAGGAGGCTTCTTAACCTCATCCATGTGGTAGCCTGGAAGCAAAAGAAAGAAGAAGGATTTGGAGTCCCAATATCTATTCAAGAACATGGTCCACTGATATGACTTCCTTCTATTGTGCTCAAACTCCTAAAAGTTTCACCCTCTTCCAGAGAATGAAGGCTTTCTAATGACAACGACTCTAACACGGGAGGGTCACTGGAGCACGGTGATCTAATTAGCATGTGACTATGTTATTTGCTAGTGTACTGATTTCACGTTACTCCTTAAGCTATTGAGTTTGACTAAGTTGAAGTAACATAAATTAATATACACTTTGCTATGAATTAGAGAATTGTGAAAGCCCTTTTACAGTTTTATTTACATAGTTAATGAGATCTGAAATGAGTTTAATTGTCAGTAATGTCTGGTGGAGGAATCCTTTAATGTGTTACTTTGAATAAGGTTCTTTCAGAAACAGTTGTATACTGCATTCTCCAGTAATGTTTGAAAATTAATATTAATAATTCATTGCAGTTTTGTAAATTACATCAACAACAAACACACTACAAAGCATTAGGGATTAGAGATCAGATGATTGATTACATTGATTTCATGAATAGATTTGAGATTATATGTCCTTTTCCACCTATTTCAATATCATTTCTATCTTCTATTTTAGAGTTCTGGGTATAGAATAATTACTGTGGTCACTTTGAAATCTTAAAAATACTAATGCAGCTTCAAGTATTCAAATTAGATCATAGAAACAAGTCCAGAATCCCATTTTCAATTTAATACAGAGTTTCCTTGAAACATTTTTTGATGCTCAAACTGTACCATCATGGTCTAGTCAGGATTACAGAAACTGCTCAAAGTACTATGGGTAACACAGCCTTCCTGTGTTTAATTAGGACTTTACTAGACTTGGCAGAGCTGGAGGAGAAAATCCAGAAACTTCAATACTGAAGCCCTCACTTTGAAGTGTTAAAGTAGATAACTCTCAAAGGCCAGGGAGTTGCTCCATTTTCTTAGCATTTTAATTTGAAATAACTATACACTTAAGGAAAATTTGCACAAAATTGTACAGATAGCATGGTTTTCCTTCAGGGAGCTTCTACTAATGATTTGCACAATTGTACAATTCTTAAAGCAATTAAATCAGTACTGATAGAAAAGTATTACCTGATCTGCAGATTTTATTCAAATTTTACCAGTTTTCTTACTATTTTCTTCTTTTTCAGATCCAGAGTTCAGTCTAAAGTTCCACATCACACTGCTTCTGTCATGTTTTCTCAGCCTTCTTCATGTTCCGTTTGTCCTCAGAGTTTTTCAGTGTCATTGAGACATCGTCTTCATTTAAGCGTGTGAGCTACAGGTCTGCAGTGTGTGTTCTCCTAACGTGTGCTCTCGGGGTTACACCCACGGTGTGCACTCCTCGAGAGAGCCTACAACAGGGCCAGCATCACGCACTTGCTCCAGCTCCACACCAGAAGCTACAACAAAGTTCCTGGTAAATTTAACTATTTATTACAATTCTAAAGAATCCCAGAGCAGCAGCCATCAAGTTTGAACTTGCACAAGTAAAATACTGACTCACAATAGGTTATTAAAAAGCAGCTCTTAACATCATGTCTGCTACAACCAGGATACTTATGCTTCTAAAAATCACCACACTCCTCATTCTGGCTTTTAAAAACTATGCATACTTCTCTCCTCACACTTCTAACCCTTTGTGTATACAAAGATTCTTCAGTAAATATCAGTCACTTATAAATATAACCTGACATACCCAAGTTGGCATAAGTAAATTGAGATGTATAAATTATGATTATGAAATATATTTAACAGGGCTAGACAGAAAAAACAAACTTGCACCAATTATCAAGCAAGTTACCCATTACCAAAAATATTTATAATAATTCCTTTATTCTACATTGTCTCAATTTTTTATTTATCATAGGCCCAATAACTGTAATGTATACCTGTATGTATATCATTTATGTATATATAGTATTATATGGTAAATTATTCTTACTGGTGTACTTTGCTCATATTAGGGAGAAAATATCTTGGATACATGGCACAGCCTGAGTTCCCAGACACTCTGGAGACTGAGGCAGGAGAACCCCATGAGTCCACAAGACCAGCCTGGGTAACATAGTGAGACCCTATCTCAGAAATAAGTAGAAATTAAGAAAAACAGAAGATGGCAGGATTACTTGTATTATGTGAAGCATATACTTGTTAGAGGGTAAAGTTATTTATAAATTAAAAAGGCAATAAGGCAACATTTCTGCCAGAAGGTTGGAACCTGTGAGGTCAGAGAGAATCTCACCAGAACGCCTCTAGAATGGAAAATGTTGGTGATCACTGGTGACTATTCTGTCACATTTCTCACTGGGGAAATCAGAATGTAGGCATGAGAGAAGTTGATGCAGGGTACTGAGTACCCTTCTACAATGATCAGAGTCAGGGACCGAGGTTGCTCTAGGAATAGCACCCAACCAGGCCCCAGGGGCTGCTCTGCCCCAACGCTACCATGGGGCAGAAGACACCAGAAACTTCCAGTGTTGCACCAGAATAAACTACACTGTGTCCGGGCACTGCCATGGCTAGAATATCCACACCCTCTGGAGGGTTGCTCATATTTCTGATTGACCGAAACTGCGCTTACCAATTGCAGGGAAGCCGAGTAAAGGGACCATTCTGCTTTCTATCTCCAAGATACACAGAGGGTATTTGGAAAGAGGCTGAGTGCCTCCAAGTGACCCATCCATCCAGAGGGAGACAGGAGTCACTGCTACCCCGGCAAGGATGGACTCAGAGTAAGCTGCGACTGAGTTCCCACCTGCAGCGTTGTCTGAGCTGGTCTGGCCACTTTGGAGGTGACTTCAAAGTGAACTTCAAAGACTCTGAGAGTTTTCCTTTCAAATGGCAAGTTTCCAACAGGAAAGCTGGCATTTATCAGGAAAAAGTAAATGAATAAAAAAGATGAACCTCCAGGCAAAGGGGTCTGACATTTCAACGTGTGCACAGGGCTTTGGGTGGTCGCCAGCTTTGCAGAGGTGTGAGAGAATACAAACACTGCTGTTATTAAAGCTTTCAGCGTGTTGACTCTGGAGCCCCAGGAGCTAAACAAGTAGATAATATTGTATTATGTAGGAAATTCAATCATTTGTTTTAGAATTAAAAGTAACATTAACTAACTTTTTCTTCTATTTATCGTACCCATCAAAATGAATATACATACGGTACTTATTAATATCTTCCCATAGGTCAATTGTATCATCTATAATTACTACCCCAGGGTCTTCTGCTGCTTGAAGAATATTCTCCACATCTCTTCTTTTCTTGTGACCCTAGCTTTATTTGAAGTGCTCAGCTCTCTTCATCTTGCTTCTTGATACTGTTGCTAACAAAATTTTCTGTCTTGGCAACAAGGAGTCTGTTCCAGTTCCCACTCCACCTCCACCATGCAAACGTTTTCTGATTTCCAGTGCAGGCTTCAAGTTCAGATTTGTCAGCTCAGCCCTGCCTGGATGCAGAGCTGGCTGCACTGCACAGAAGATGGCTCCTGGGAGTCCATCAGTCGTGAAATTTCCCTGCTTCGTGTATCCTTAGCTTGTTTACATGCTTGGCCGCTCAGTTATCTGTCTTAGACTGTAATCATTTATTGAAAAAAGTGCCAATCTGGCCTTGTACAGAATTAAGCCACATCAGGTACCTCATTTGTCAGGCAGTTAGCATTACTAGCATATTGTTCTCAGCAAGACTCTCACAGTCCTTCATATACTAATAATGTTGGAGTTCCAATGTCTTTGGACACCTCGCTTTTCAAATAAGTGGTTTTGTCTTCAATACATGAAAGGCACCTCCGAAAAGGACCTGTAACCCATTCAGAGCCTGCTGTTCCCCGTGGCCAACCAAGTGTTATTCAAGACTTTCAAGGGGTTGAACAATGTGACTGAGAGCCAGGTTAGTTCTAAGGGGCCAGGACTGATTTAAATACTAAATGCAAAACAAAAAGCCATATTGAGTCACAGTCACAGTAACAATAAATGGCATCAGCCTTTAGAAAAGGAATATACCTCTTTGGATGGTCATGTACCTAAAATACACAAGAGAATTTTAAAGTGCTCAATGCTGGTATTTCAAGGAATGACTTCTCCTACTTGTGATGGCTGAACATTTTATTTTTTCCTATTCCTTTCTCTTGCTTACTTTTCTCTCCTTCTCTTCATATGTATTGTCATTTATTCCCTCAATGTTCCTCAGGTTTCTTTTCTGTGGACTAACCTGCAAGCACTTACCTTTGCTATATTCTTTCTCATTTCTTATCAAAAATTATAATAAAAGCAAAAATGGAAGGACTTTAAATAAACTCTTTCTTTCATACACACACACACACACACACACACACACAACCCTGAATGCAATTACATACCATCTAATGCCATATATACATGGATTAAGGACTTTAGTTGTTCATCAGTCTGTTTGTAGGCAATCAAACATATATGTAAAATTATTCATAATTGTTATTTGCTATTTATTTCACACTATTTTCTACATAGTATATCAAACTTTCTATTTTGTTTTGTTTTGTTTTTTTGAGACAAGGTCTCCTTTCTAGTCCAGGGTGTCCCTGAACTCACTGTATGCCCAGGCTAGGCTCAAACTTGCTACAGTCCTCCTGCCTCTGACTCCCGAGTGCTGGAATTACAGGCATGTGCCACCAAGCCCTGTCAGTCTATCAAAGTTTCATGGGCTCTGCTCCCAATATTAAATATATATATATATGATTCATATTGCTTTTTACTAATTCTTGTTTTCAATTTTCCTTAAGTCCATCAATTTTAAAAAGTAGTTTCCAAATCTGGTTAAAAAATGTCAAGCTCAGAACTTTAGTATTTATTCTAACTTAGTTGAAATTCATTAGGAGTGATTGCTTACTCTATTTTTGAGAAGAAAGACAGCAAAATGTTTGAATTCTGCAGTGCCTCTTTATATTAATATGATATATTGATAGAATAATTTCTTCATAAATTACAGTGATTGTAAAGAATATTTTAACCTGATGACTATCAGAAGGAACATTGAAATCGAATAGTTATCCCTTTTATGCTAATGAGGACGGAACTCAGAGCCACCACACTGAGCTTCCTACCTCTCGCAGCTCAGCTTTAGTTTTTATTCTAAGACAGGCTCTTGCCAACTCAAAAATTATGTCCAGACAAGGCTCAAACTGGTGATCCTCCTGCCTCACGCTCCCAGAGTGCATTGCCCTTACCATGTAGGCGTACAGAGAATTACAGATCCTTTAGGCAGGAGTTCTAAAAAGTACATAATCCTCCCCACTGGATTATATATATTTTTTGCTGTTTTAGTGGCAGTTATGTCAAAATCTCACCCTGGACTTGGTGCCCAAGCAACATCCTAGGTGATTTTATAATTCCCAGAAAATCTTAACTGGCTGTGCAACTTGGTGATTCCTACTCAGCAGAGCTGTTACCGCCCCTCAGTTTTACAATAGGCAGAACTGTCCAGGAAGTCAACATACAACTCAGTCCCCCCCAAATCCATGCGAGACGTGTGCCAGTCAACAGTGTCACCAGAGGGGACATTGGATAGGCCCCCTGGCGGCAGCAGCTCTGGGCTACTGCAGAGGGGGGTTGATAGCTGCTGCTGAGAGGACCCACTCTGGTACCACTGGAATAGGATGGGCCAAATTCATCTGGATCTACATGGGAGGCAGGAACATACAAGTGATCAGAGGCATGCACATGACAGAAACAGCAAGACTTAAAAATCAGTTACAAGTGAATAGTTAATGACTAGACAACCCCATGTGTTGCAGTTTCTTTCTGTAAGAAAATAAAAACAGGAAAGCACCACGTGCCCAACAATTAATGTAGTCTCCTGAACTTTTATGATATTTAAAATTTTAATGGACATATTTTTTCATATCATATTGTACCTTAACATGGACCATGACAAAAAGCAGCCTGCAGTCATGTGATGCACAGTGACGATCCAGTACAGGAAGTGAGGCAGGATGATATCCCGCGATAACATCGCAGGCTTCTGAGTGTGTGCACACGCCCATGCTGTGTGATTCCACAGGCTGGCCCAATAAGTTGCATGAGTTTTTCCATTTAAATATAATTTCAGATGCATCAGTGGATGAGGTGACAGTGGACAGGGGTCAGACAAAGGTGACGCTATGGTTTGAAGGAGAGGAAAGGACTATGATGTCGACAATGGAGCCACTTCTGGAGCCAAACAGGTAGGGTACAATAGTGTCCTCCAGAGCAAGGAAAGGTAAACACAGCCCTAAAAGCATCCTGGCTTTTGCCAGGGGAGACCAATCAGGACTTCAGGCACACAAAACAGTCAGATACTAAATTGAGACTGTTTAAACTGCTAAGAGGGTGATAATTTGTTAGAAAAGAAATAGGGAATTATTTCAGATTTTTATAATGAAAGAAGGGTATTGCTGTAATGATTATCCAAAAATGTCAGAGTGCGTTTGGAGAAGAATTGGGAAGAAATTAGAAAAAATTTGTTGAGCATGGGGGTGGAGGGGGGAGCAATAACAATAATAACAAAAGATGTCCCTTGACCCAGCCCTAGTGGAACTGAGGGTTATAAAGACACTGTTCTCAAAGGCTCAGAACAAAGTGAGGAATTTAGCAGTGGAAATTTAAATTACTTTAGTGAGCACACAAATCACTATGATCAAGCTAATAGTAAACACTAAAAAATCTAACAACTTTACTGATCAGGGTTAGAAAAAAAATAAAGATCATGTTATTGGAAAGTGGAAGTAAAGAGACCTGTTACAAAGAGACACAAGCTTGGCAGAATTGTCTTACATTGTGTTGACAGAAGAAATTGTAAGAGAAGAATGGGCATTCAGATGAGAAACTTTCTAAGGAAATTGTTGAAGGTGTGGCCTTCTTCTTCTTGCTGGCTATTATAAAATGTGAAAGGAAAAGACAAATTATTGTTAGACAAAAACAATAGATTGCTATTAAACAAAAAGGAAATGTTACTACCTGATTTAGGAAATATCAGTTTATCCAGATTATAAAATAAAAGATAGGAGAGCATGATCTATGAAAGGCCATGTAGCTCTATGTAGCTGCTGTCTCCAAACTTTTGGTGATCTTTCAGAAAAAAGCAAAATATCACCATAATCAGTCCCACAAAAGGCTCTTTCCCACCATTACTTGGAATTGAATGCAGGACCTTCAAACTGAGCTACATTGATTTTTTTATGTTTTATTTTGAAACAAGGTTTCATTAACTCACTCAGTTTGAGATGGTTTCCCTTGTTCTTCATCCCCCCAACTATGGGCACTGATAAACATCATCTCTTTTGTTCTGCAACTGTTAGCAAGGGTGACCATATTTACTACATTTATGTTCACACAAGAATTCCATTTCAAGTTGGAAATATGATTATTTTTTGATTCTTAATCCAAGATTAAACAAACACAAAAAAGGCTTGAAGAATCCAACTCTAAACACAGTTTCAAACTTGACTTCCGCCTGTTTCTCCACACTTACTCTTCATCAGGCTTTGGCCCATCATGGTTCCACACAAGTGTGTAAATAAGTGTGCAGAGTGCACATCTGCCCTTGTTAACTCCTAGAGCTTTGTGTTTCTTCTTTGTCTCCTTTACAGATGTCTCCTTGTGCTGCCTTCAGCCCTTCCTCCTCCTCCTCCTCCTCCTCCTCACCCACCCTAACCTTCTCTGTTGCTTCATTGAGCAATTTTTCTGAGTTTAACATCACACACTGCACACATCGAAAAGCTGGGGCTTGATCATCTGATTTTCTCTCCTTTTGAATTTTGATTTGTGGAAAACTTTGTTTCCGAGGAAAAGTAGGAAGACAATCAATCCAAGTTCTGTCCATTTCAAACTAGAATTGGAATCTGCTTTCTCCTTATACTGTTCCCTTCTCCAGGTCCTGGATGACTGAGAACATAATAGCAATACAAATGGAAGAAAATGTGCTAAGTCAGGTTTTCAATCATTGCTTGCATCTGTTTTTAGCATCTTGAGTATGTTGAATATATAAATTCTCACTGTTGACCATATAATTGATAAAAATTATATTCTCATCAAGACAAAGGATTTTCTTTGATGCTATACCACTTAAAACTTAGTTATTTTATACTAACATATTTTTCCCCAAAACTTACTTTAAGGATTTTGCCATAATTGATTATAACAGGCAATATATCAGATTCCAACCCTCTTTCCATCTCTGGTCTTCAGAGCCAAAAGATTTCTTCTAGAAATTGTGTCACTCAGCTCAAGTTTGTACTGATTCCTTTCTGTTTCCTCTTTCTCTCTCTCTCTCTCTGTCTCTCTCTGTCTCTCTCTGTCCACCCTCTCTCTCTTTGTACCCATATATATCTATATATCATGATTAATATTTTCATAATTCTTTATAATGTGTAGAATTTAACTATTCATTTGCACAATGCTATGGAAGATAGCTATTAACACATACTGCCTTCTCTTTTGTTTTCTCCCATCAAAGAGTGTTTTATATGTTGCTGTGGTAGTTGTATTATGAATGACATTGTTTACATGAGTTTGTTTCAATAAGCTCAGTCAGAAATACACATACATGCATATATATGTTATATAAATTACATGTATGTATATTTAGAGAGAGAGAGATGTGTGTATGTGTTTTGTCGAATACATGCTTGGTAAGATTTAAGTTTCCCACTATGGCAGATTTAGAGTATATTTCCTTCCTTAGATGAGTAAGAGTTCACATATTAACTATGTAAATGAAGATGACACTACAGAAACTGGATGGCAAGAAGCATTTATAGCTAGTAATTCTCAACACAAGGACCTGGCTTTACTGCTTCTAAATACGCAAAGCCAAATGTATTCCCTCGTGAGGCACTATTTTTCCGACTATGAGATTGACCACCTATATATGGAGAAAAATTTGGCTTTCAAACACAGCAGAAAAGGAACTAAACTTTGCCTCTCTGAGTCCAAACTTGAATGGGTGCCACTGCCAATCTCCTATCAGATTTCATTCGCCTCTGTTGTGTCTATTTAGTTAGAAATGAATTTATTTTATATTGTGAAGATTAATTACATTTTTCAATGCAACAATGTAATGTCTTCTTGGTTTTCCATTTGTGTAAATAAAATTTTAGAATATATACATCACATCAATATGATTAGTCTAATTTGAGAACTAAAATTTTGGTGGAAATATTGAAATCTTTTGTGATTTTAATGATTTGATAGTTGTGCTATCAAACAAATCAGAAGTGAGTCTACTACTGAAGCTACCTAGGCTCAAAAATCAATTTAAAATATGAAGAGGGGATGGAGAAGGGAAAGAGGATGACAAAAGAACTAAGATGTGCTATGTGCATGTGCCATTACCCCATGAGGAGTGTAAACCTTATTTACTACAAACATGGACTGACAAAAATAAAAGTAAAACATAAAATGACATATCTTAATTTTGATGTGTATACACACATACCTAAGGAACTTGACAACTCTTGCAGATTTAATCTGCCAATTCAGAATAGGTATTGATTTATTTTTAACTTTACAAAATGTTTCTTTACCATGCTGAGATTCCCACTGGTTGCAAGGGCTTCAGGTTTGATTCTGAGAGTATTGCAACTTCAAAATACCCTCTAACCTAGTGCTGCTTCCTATACCAGCTCATCACCAGGGCTTGTGAACCCCGATTCTTCACAATCCCTTTATGACAGTGCAGTAGATTCTGTTTTTCACCTTCCAGCATACTGTTCTTGGCTTCCCGATCCCCAAGCAAAATGTGTCAATGCATGGTGCCTTTCCAATATGGAGATGTGGCCCAAATGTAAGACCAGAGGTATCTGTACAAGGGTGTTGGATTGATATGATATGTGATTTAAAAATAATGTTGTAGGTGTGGAATTTAGGGTTCAAATTGTTTTTGTTTCCATAGCAACTGAAAACAGTTTTATCATATTTTATTATTTGAATTTACATATGATACAAAACGGATATTTCTTCTTATGAGACAGCATTTGTTTAAAAAATGGTCACTGTGAACTGCATTTTGACATTCTGAATTATCAATAGCAAGTGTCTAATTTTGGAACTCTTATGAAGAGAGCCTTGTAAACTGCAAGTGGAAATTTAAATCGGTACAGAGGTACCTCAAAAATTTTAAAATAGACTCAGCAACCCCACTACTGAATGTACATATCATACATATAGTATACTGCAGGGGACCACAATATTGATTATGCTTAAAGCAGGGTGTAAGCAGTGCAAGCTGTAAGAGATAAATCCCTCATTTGGCTTATTTTAAGAAGTGGTCTGACTGAGACAGGCAGGTCTGTGCACGCCCTACCGAGGTCTCAAGTCACGCAGAAGACGCCAAATCAGCCTGCTGCAGACAGGCAGGTCTGCGGACAGCCTACCAAGGTCCTGATTCCCGCAGAACATGACAAATCAGCCCGTGCCAAAGCAGCGGTCCACTGGACACCCCCCCCCGCCCCCGCTTCTCTATACAGCCACCTGGTAACACGCTGCAGAGACGCAGAGGATGCCGGACCACTAGACCACAGTATTGAGTCCCGCTGGCCCGGCCCAGAGGTAGGGGTTTCTGAGCCGCCTTCTCACTGCTCCTGGACCAGAGGAAGGGGCTTCCTGGCTACCATCCCTCCCACTGCTCCTAGCCCAGAGGAAAGGGCTTTTGGGCCACCTTCTGTCCCGCTGCTTCTGGCCAAGAGGAAGGGGCTTCCCGGCCACCATCCCTCCCGCTGCTCCCAGCCCACAGGAAAGGGCTTTTGGGCCACCATCCCTACCACTGCTCCCGGCCCCTGTCCCACCTCTCCCACCTCTCCCAACTCAGAGGAGGTAATCCATGCAGGTGATAACAGCGCCCCCTGCCAGTCAAAATGAGAAAACACATAGATAAGTCTCAAAAACCAGACTTCCAGATCACCTACAGCAACCCCAAAGGGAAATGAAATGGAACACTCTAATACTCAACCACCTGGACCCACTGAACTGGCAACAAAAGGGGATCTGGAAAAAATGAAATCAGAAATAATTTCT